CGTTCGGTCAACTTCAGCGCAGTGTTCGGTCAAGGCAGGTGACCGTTGAAATCAGTACACGTGGCTAACAGCGAGCGACCGGACGCTGGGGGCTCAGCGTCCGGTCACCCCGCGTTTTACCCAGTGAAGGGGTACAATGGCTCTATTTCATGGGGGCTTCTATTTAAGCCCCATGGCCGGCTCAAGCTCATAGTCTTGGCCATTTTCATTGACATAGCAACCTTGTGAGCTTAGCCAAAGCCCTCCCACTCATTTCCATCATAGATTAAACATCTTTGAGAGATTGAGAGTGATCCAAGTGCATTGCTTGAGTGTTTGCATCTAGAGGCACTTGGTGTTCGTGTTTCGCTGCGGGATTCGCTTGTTACTCTTGGTGGTTGCCGCCACCTAGACGGCTTGGAGCAGCGAGGATCGTCGAGTGGAGGGTGGTGATTGTCGCCGGCTCCGATCGTGGTAATTGTGAGGGGTTCTTGACCTTTCCCCGGTGGAGCGCCAAAAGGTACTCTAGTGGATTGCTCGTGGCTTGTGTGATCCTCATCTTGTGTTGGTTGTGCGGCACCCTATTGAGGGTTTAGCGTGTGAAGCCAATTAGCGCGTGAACCTCCAAGTGAGTGAATCGCCACAACGAGGACTAGCTTGCCGGCAAGCAAGTGAACCTCGGTAAAAAATCATTGTGTTCATCATTGATTCCGAGGTGATTGGTCTTCATTGTTATCCACACTTGTGATTGATTGGTTCATACATCTACACGGCGGTATAACCTTCTTGCCTACTCATTACATTACCGCAAACTAGTTGTCAAGCTCTTTAGTGTAACTAGTTGTGAGAGCTTGTTAGTTTAGTTAGTGTGGCTCTTTAGTTAGCTTTTGAGAGCACACTAACTTAGTATAGTGATATAGCTATTGTGTGGATATACTTCATCTAAACTAGAATTGTGATAGGTGGCTTGCATTTTGGTAGGCTAGCGCATAACTCGCTTCGCTTCATAATTGTCTAATCCTTTTGTTAAGTGTTGTTGTAGAAATTTTATTAGGCTATTCACCCCCCTCTAGCCATTAGGACCTTTCAACCATATGGATGTGAAATCTGCTTTCTTGAATGGTGACTTAACTGAAACAGTGTTTGTGCAGCAACCTCCAGGTTTCATCATTGGCAATGGAGACAAGGTGCTTAAATTGAGAAAGGCACTCTATGGCCTTAGGCAGGCACCCAGAGCATGGAATGCTAAACTTGATAAAGAGCTAGTTGCTCTCGGCAAGAACTCATTTCTACTTGTGGGGGTGTATGTTGATGATTTGATCATCTTTGGACCAAATGTCAGTGACATTAAACAGTTTAAGTCAGAGATGAGGAAGAAATTCAGCATGAGTGATCTAGGTCTCCTGAGCTACTACTTGGGGATAGAGGTGAAGCAGGGAGATGGGGGAATTACATTGAGTCAGAGCTCTTATGCTGTAAAGATACTTGAGGGGGCAGGAATGAAAAACTGCAACCCTTGTGATACAAGCATGGAGTGTCGGCTCAAACTGGGGAGAAGCTGTAGATCCTACTGCATATAGAAGCATAATTGGTAGCCTCAGATACATCGTCAACACTAGGCCAGATCTTGCATATGCGGTAGGTGTTGTTAGTAGGTACATGGAGGCACCAGGGAGAGAGCACTGGGCTGCTGTTAAACATATCTTGAGATACTTGAAGGGAACAGTAGGGTATGGCTGCAGATATGAGAAGGGAACTGAACTGAAACCCATCTTGCTCGGTACAGTGACAGTGACTTTGCAGGAGATGTTGAGGATAGGAAGAGCACCACGGGTGTTGTATATTTCCTCGGCAATAGCCTGGTAACATGGGCATCACAGAAGCAGAAGATAATTGCTTTGTCTTCATGTGAAGCCGAGTATGTGGCGGCGGCGGCAGCAGCGTGCCAAGGCGTTTGGTTAAGCCGGTTGATAGCAGATATGATGGGAACGAAAGAGGCGACAGTGAAGCTATTCATGAACAATATGTCTGCCATCGCTCTTAGTAGGAACCCAGTGCACCATGATCGCAGCAAGCATATTGATACTAAGTATCACTTTATTCGTGAGTGCATTGAAGAAGGCAAGGTGGAGGTGGATCATGTTGGGACTGCAGGGCAGCTCGCGACATCTTCACCAAATTGCTGGGGTGAGTCAAGTTCATGGAACTGAGGAGTGCTCTGGGTGTCGTCGATGTGCAACAAGTTTAGGGGGTGATTTGTTAGCCAAATTGTTGCACAATAGTATGTAATTTTTCGTTCTGATTCATGCATCAGCTAGCATAGGGGCAGGGCGTGGTCGATGGCGTGCTTGATCACGACTTGGTCCGGTTCAGTTTGGTCAGTCCGCACCATGACGTGCTCAGCGCACGCAGCGCGCGCCGCAGCGAAACGGCGTGGCGCACTTTGTGTGGCATGGCGAGGGGAGGCTTGGTTGTTGCAAGCCCGAGATTGTAGCATGCATTTGTGTATAAGAGCATCAATAACAGACCGAAGGCGTTGCGTTGAAGGCCGCTGAAAACCCCCTTTTCTTGTGTGAGTTTGTTGCGCGTGGTTCCATCTGCTCGTGTTCTCGCCGCGGTCACCGCGCCGTCGCCGGCGTTCACGATCCAAGCTCGCTGTGGTGTTTGGTTCCATCACGACCATCACTTTCAGTTCCAAGAAAGTTGTGTTGACCGTCATCAGTTCGTTCAGGTCGAGTGTCCAACTCAAAGAACAGTGCTCAAGTCCTAATCGGCTAGACTTCTGCTGCCAATCAGCCAATCCCCAACAGATCTTGTCACGGACAGGGTTTCTCTTTCTCCCGGCACTTCATGAATGGCGGTAGCAGGAGCTGGGACTGAATGCCAAAGTTGACGGACAGAATCAAAGCTAGTACTGTACTAGATGGTAGGGGAAGAGAGCGAAAGAAAATGCATACGTATACCCTGGGGCGCCTCCATGGATGGCGGTAGCAGGAGCTGGGACGGAGAAGCTGAGCAAGAGATAATGGGACGGAGGCGTGGCCGGTGCTGCTGCCGGTGAAGACGGTGGAGCGGTGACGCTGAAATGGTGGTGATCATGACCGTCACTGTATATCTCCAGTCCAGTGCTACTACGAGTACATGTGTTAAATATTTGGGATCATCATAGTCCGCAAGGAACGTGCCTGTATTAAATACTCATTGGAAAAAAAAGTGTACTACTACATGTTTTAAAAGTTAGACGGCCTTTGCTCGCTGTCGCGATTGTTTTGGTGCTTCTCTTTCTTTCATGTGAAATAAATTATTCCCTGGCGGCTCCGTTTTCATATTGCACAAAAGCTCAAGCACATGTCTCACCCTACTACCCACCTCAAAGTGGTTGCCCACGTGAGGTTGCTGCTTCAAGCTATCATGGATTAATTTATTACTTAATCTATTCTAAATTATAAGACGGTTTTTATTTTTCTACGTACAAATGTATCTAGACATAGTATATATCTAAACGACAGTGCTAGCGTCCAGACATCCGGATGCCCGCGCCTTTATTCCGTCCCCCACGCACCTACATCCCTCTCCCGCCAATGCGGGGCCCACGCTGCCGGACTGCACGTTGGGAGTCCCAACTCGTGCCCCATCCGCTTCTCATGCACATGCACGCGGCCAGCAGCTACAGGATGTGACTACAGCTCCGCCAACATTCAAAAAAGTGGGGGAGGGAGAGGGGGAGGGAGCGGCAGATGCCCAGCCGGCGTTGGGAGAAGGAGTAGACACCGAGGCGAAGGTGAGGCATCAGAAAAGCGAGGACAGAGATGCAACACCCGATTTACTTTTGAAACATCCGGATCCAACACTTGCAACATACGTCTGAAGGCAAATGAAACATATATCTGAAACACTACCTGCAACACCATATCTACTTTTGAAGCATCCAAATGAAACACTTGCAATATACGTATGAAACAACTAAAACACTCGAAACTTGCGTATGAAACACTTTCAAAAAACACATGAAAACACTTGAAACCATTAGCAAACATACGTAACATCCAGATAAAACACTTGCAACATATGTGTGAAAACATATGCAACATCCAGATGAAACACTTGCAAACATACGTCTAGAAAACGAGATGAAACATTTGGAACATACACTTGAAACATACGTGTATAGCCACTCCAACATGTGCAACATTCCGATCTACTTTTGCAACATCAAGATGAAACATTTGCAACATCCAGTTGAAACATCTGAAACACTTGAAACATACTCTTGCAACATGGGCTTTGCTTGGACGAACGGAGCGCGGATGTCGACGGCGGCGCATGAAGCTTCTTGTGCGGCAGCGGCATGGGCAACTCGCCGGCGGGCGTAGTGTCACACAAATTTTGTCCCCCTCGTCTGCTTGTTGGAGCATCCGTTGTGGAGGCTCGTCGGCTCGGTGGAGGCGGCCGCGGCTCACCAACTCGGTGGAGGCGGTCGCAGCGAGCGGGCCGACCGCGGCGAGGAGGTAGCGCGGTGGAGACGGGCAGACTAGGCCCGGCGGGGAATGCGGCGTGGAGGAGGCAGTGCGAAGAAGGCCGTAGGGGATGGGGCACGGTGCTGCGGGGGCACGGCGGTGGCAAGGCGGAGTGGGGTGGGCGGATGGGCACGGTGACTCAGGGAGGAAACAGCGCAACGAGCATCGGGGTGTGCGGACGGGACGAGTGGATAGGGTCGCTAGGCTAGCGGCGTGTGCGGCTGTGAGCGAAGGGAGGCATCCATCTGGACGTCTTAATTGTATCATTAGCAATGTCTAAATGCATAACAAAAGTTATGAATTAAAAAAAAGTCAAAACGACTAATAATTTAGAAATAGGAGTATTAACCATCAACATATAGTATTTTAAACTGATTATTAGAATCTTATATTTCACAAGTATTAAAAGTTCCATAAATTTATTTGTACAATAAAGTATTTATTATCCTGTTGGCTCTCGAAACGGAGACCATCGACATGTTTGTCCTCTCGCTCTCCTGCACATTACTTCGTCCGAAACTTTCCGTCTGTCTTCTCAAAGACCTGCTCAGCGATCCAGGCCGCTTCGCCCTCGGCCTGCCTGATCTCCATGCCGGATCTCTGATAGTACTCTACGAAAGCATCTGGGACGGTGCTACTGAACCCAGCAGCAGCAGCGACCTCCGCCTTGGCTCCATACACTACCTTCTGCAGTTGCCGCAGGACCAGCGGAACAACAGTGCCAACAAACAATCATCTTCAGCTCTCTATGCAATGGGGCCAGGGCCAGCCAGCAGCGATGTGTTACGAACGAACCTTTATCTTGGATAAGCGAATCAGTCCCAAGCACATTGGGCATGGTTGGCAGGACGCGTAGATTTCGCAGTCGGAGAGGTCGATTCTCCCTAGTTTTTTGCAAGCCTGAAATGTGCCAAGAGATTATTAGGAGATCACAAGATAGGTTTATATATATAATAACAAGCTGCAAACTAGCAGGAGTAGCACTTTGCCTGTCTTATGGCGGCTACTTCAGCATGCGCCGACGGATCGGTGTCCTTGCGGACCGAGTTGTGGCAGCTGATCACCTCCTCGTCGCCACGGGCGATGACTGCCCCGAACGGGTTTCCGCCGCCACACTCGACTGCCTGGTAAGCTTCGTCCACGGCTTTCGCGATGAATCTGTAGTCCCGATCTCGGCCAGCTGCTGCTGCTGCTGATAAGACAACTCCCAAGTCAGAGACTCTCTTTCGACAGTGATCGAGTCGAGGTCGAGGCCTCCATCACTTCCAGTTCCAAGAAGAAAGCTTTCAGTTGGTTCTTCAGGTAAGTGACCAACGCGTGCAAAAGAAGAGAGCTTAATCGGCTTGGCAAGTTAGGAGCGCAAGATCGAGAGCGTGAGAGCATACATACATACATACATACCCTTGGGCGCCTCCATGGATGGCAGCTTGGCAGGAGCAGGGAGAAGCAGAGGGGGAGACGAAGGGAAGGAGTCGTGGCGAGGTCGTCCGTGTGTCTGTTGTGAACGTGAGATAGTGGTGTTGCTCAGTCGCTGTCTCGTGCAAACGCTGCTTGTGTTAATATTTGCCTAGGATACCAGCTCATCTGAGGAGCGTGACGTACGTACCGTGTTAAAAATGAATGATGGTGAAGAAAGTACGCATGCAGTACCTAACAAGCAACAACCTTTCACACACACACACGCGCGCGCGCGCGGATATTTATCGACAAACTGTATTCCCATACTGAACAAAACCTTAAGGACATGTACCACACGAGTACTACCTACATGTACAACATGTTAAAATTTATTGAAACAGAAAGCTTGTGCAAGAAAAGGAGAAGAAAAAAAAAAAATTTAGTTGTACAATATGTTAAGGACATGTAGCCTCCCAAGATTTTACAGCAGTAGTAGTTTGTTTACACTTTATGCCGAACAAAATGCATCAATCAGGTAAACCTGTAAGTCGAAGCTTCTGAGTTCAGACATCATTCTCACACTCGAATTTAATAATGTGCTATAAAAAGCACCATCAGAAAGGGAGAAAGTAAATTCCATTAACTGCACATTAAGTTACAGCAAAGAACAATCTTGTGTCTGTGTACAAGAAATCCAGACATCGTCATCAGAATGTTAAACATTGGAATCGAGATATTTTTTCGAAACAACGGACATTTGGGCAACTGTATTATTCCTTGTCCTTCTGAGTGAGCATTGTATACAAATCTGAAACCTCTTTTCTGTTAAGCATCAGTACATCTGGAACTTCTCCTTAGTCTTTTCAAAGACCTGCTCAGCGATCAGCGCGCCATTGCCGTCGGCCTTCTTGATCTCCATGTTGGCCTTCTGGTAGAACCCAGTGCCTCTCAGAGCATCTGCGATGAAGTCGTCGAATCCAATGGCAATGGCAGCCTCTGCCTTGGCCCCATAAACCAGCCTCTGCGTTGCAGGAAGGGTAGGAATGTTAGACAACACTCAATAATGCCTAGCTGTGCCTATCAGTTTATGTAATCATCATAACAGTAAAGTATGAACCTTGATTCGGGAGAGATGAACTGCACCGAAGCACATTGGGCATGGCTCACAGGACGCGTAAATTTCACAGTCAGAGAGCTCAATTTTCCCAAGCTTTTTGCAAGCCTAAAATACGGACATACAGCGACCATCAAACACATAGCAAATAATGGAATTAACTGCCAGAAAGATTACAGAAAGACATCAAAGTAATGACCATTTTACTGAGAGCAACTGCTAACTGTAGCCTTCAAGTAATATTTACCTCTCTAATTGCAGTTACTTCAGCATGCGCAGTAGGGTCAGTGTGCTTCAGAACCATGTTATGGCAGCTAACTACTACTTCATCGTTACGGACAACAACTGCTCCAAATGGACCTCCGTCACCGCAATCGACTCCATGATATGCTTCTTCCACTGCTTTTGTCAAGAATTTGTGATCCCTGTCTTGCACAGCTGCAAAATTCACCAAAATGCATGTCTTGGATCAGTTTTCTTGCTGTCGTTACATAAAAGCAAATTTTACCAAATGGCGAAACTGTGACCTTAGAGATCATATGTCAGGGCCAATGTTAACCTTCTGTCAGTAAGTAAAGCTGTGCAACTACAAGGGAATTACAAAAATAGTTATTACCACTGCAATGTTCTCACCTTCCTGATGACCAGCAAATGCAGAAGCAACTGAGATGGTTCCATCTTTTGACTCCACAACTGCAGTACAAAAGCACATGCATTGAGATTGAGGTCATGGTTTATCAGAAGAAACTGTTCTGCTAATATTGACTATACAACTAATTAGCGATAAATTTCAGCAGATGACTTCGTCCTTAAACTTATATCGAACCACCAAGAAATCAGGTTGGCAATCAAGAAAAGATGTAGCTGTGGAAAATAATGTAGGTTCCGTTTGAAGCAAAGACATAGATTTCAATTTAGTTAATGACATCAGTTCTGACTTGTACATTGAAATGAAACAAATACTTTGGCTCAATTTCAAGACAACAGATCCTCAGTTAAGCATTTCAGACATCAATTCATTCATGGCAAACACTCAAATCACTTCCCCACTTGTAAAGAGGAAACATTAAGGCCTCGTTCGGTTGGGTGGGGATAAATTCCAGTCTCTGGCTTCCTTCTATAATTTACGAAGCATGGGAAACGTTCCGGCCCGGAACGGCCGGGAACGGTGCTAACCGAACGGGGCCTAAAGTAGTAACCGAGGGGGATCCATGCCCCGGAACAGGATCAAAGAAGAACCAGACCAGAGCCTACTCGAGGAAAAGATGAAATGGCATGCCCGGATGCCCCCATTCCCATTGGCACCCCCGCACCACAATAATCCGCTCGCTGCTCAACCAATCCCCACCACGGCACCACATCCTGCTCCCCCGACCGAAACAGAGCCGAGAAGAGAGCTGGAATTCGAGCCAGGGACAGGGTGCGGGACACACAGGAGCAATCGAAGCTGCCGCGGCCGCAGATCGTGTACCGCCCACCGAATTGGTTACTGCTACGAGCCTATCATCACGACGAGTCGACGAGAGCGAGAGAGACGTACCTTGCGCCTCTTCCATGGCTGGCTGGGGCTCCAGCAACTTTTGAGCGAGAGAGAAAGGGGGGCTTTGCCGCAATGGATGGCGTCTCCTGCTCTCCCGCCGATCGGGTCCTGTGTGGTGCGTCTCGTCTCGTCAAATAGGGAGGCCGGGTTGGTCGACTCCGACTTTGCTTGGCGTCACCCAAGGTCATTGCCAAGTAGGGCCGGCCGGAGCACCACCCTGTCCACGGCCGATTGTCACCGACGGATAGCGTACCATGAGATGGGTGGACATGGTGCACGGGCAGAGGGATGGATGGCCGGCCCAGCCATGTGCAGGTGCCTCGCTCTTGCCCGTTTTGCAGCGCATAACGGAACAAGTGAGTGTGATCTGTTTTGGCACGCCTACCTACTTGTCTTTCGGATGGAGTTGGGATAGTAGTGTCTGCCCGGGGACCAACTCTTTGCCGTATGGGCTAGGCATACTCCGCCGGTCGCCGGCGCCGACCGCCGCCCGGGCACGCATTCACATGTCTTCTTTTCCCTCCCACCTTTTCTGGGGTCATCAGTCACGTACTCACGCTGGGGACGCCACGGCAGCCATCATTATCGCCTCGTTGGAGCTTGCACATTTTCCATGTTGCCTGCTTTTAGCCGTTTCTCGTTGTAGTGGATGGATTCTTCGTCGGCGTCCTTTGATTGGTACCTCAATATTTTGCTTTCGTGTAGGCAAAGCATGCAAAAAGAACATCTTCATCTGATCTCTTAATATGCATCTCCCATAAATTATTTTAGAAGAGTGCCTTCTGCCTTGAAATCCATTAGGATATTGCTCACAAAAAAAAAAAAAACAATTAGGATATGAGATTAATAATGTAAAAGATTACCTAAAACTTGTTTCTTTTATTTATATTATTTAGGGATAGGGGAGGGGTTGTCTCCTTTATCTAGGAGAGAGATGTTGTTTTTTTATAGCACATCTATCTTCCAAAATGCTAACGCTACTTTTTAGGTACATGAGATTAGATAAGATATATAGGGATTTGTTAAAATTCAGGTGCCTCAATTTTAGTTTCATTCTTGGGGACGGTTATTGCATATATTTTATACTAAAATTACAGATTTTGTTTATTGCAATTTCTGTAAATGTGATCTATAATTTTCGAAACCGAGAATAAAAAACAACGTTACACAAAACTACAAACTCAACAAAATCTGATTTGTATTGGTACAAAGACAATTAACAATTATTTTCTATAGGAAGACAACGACAAAATTTAATATGTTATAACATAAAGACAAATGACAAATCACAAAAGTAATAATTTACTTTTACTGAGGTAAAGAGTGTTGTCTAAAATTATCTTCAAATTCGGCACCTGAAATATAGAAGAAGTGTAGGATACATCGGGTGAGCATGCTCTAACTCATAATTCAATCCTCGTGAAAATACGAAAAATTAGTAAATCCTCATAATCCAGAATGCTAGCCACTCGGACATCTTATCTTTTCTGAAGAAAAAAACGTTTTCGGATATATTAATCCAAAATGACTTGAATTCACTGTTGGTGGAGGCTATTGATCGTCGAACGTTGAAGCTCATACAAGTTTCTATATGGGTTATGTACCTAATAACCTTGTTAATTAGCAGATAGCAGGTCGGACTGCGTACTTCCTGTTCCTGGCACTTTATCTGTTTTAAACTATAAGATGTTTTAACTTTTTTAGATACATTGATGTTAGCATGTATCTAAATATACTGTATATCTAAATGTATAAAAAAAAAATTTATAAAAAACTAAAACATCTTTATATATATATATATATATATATATATATATATATATATATATATATATATATATATATATATATATATATATATATATATATATATATATATGACGCATGCCTACGTGGTACACTTAGCCTATCACTCGCCCCCAAGGGTTAATGTTGACAAGATAAGAACCAATGTGCTGGCTCATGTTGACACGTACGTCATCATTCGTCAAAGCATCTTTGGTTGGTGATGCTTGCACGAGGAAGCTAGGGGAGGAGGCGTGGACAATACGAGTGTGTGGTTGGCGGTTAAACCAATGCACTGTCACTACGTAGCTAGAACGGGTGGCCAAATTATATACCGACTATATCCAGATAATTATAAGATAGTTTAATTAGCTTTATCTTATGTCAAATTATTTTTAAAAAATTAATGATGCTTACACGCTCAAATGAATGTACTATCAAGATAATACATAATTTAATGAAATTAATTTATTATTGTAGACGTTAGTGTTTTTTCTATAAACACTACGACAAATTTCCCTATGGTTTATTTGTTTTCCTATCGTTTTTAAAATTCCTAGGAAAATATATGGTTCCTAGG